CTCCCAAAGGCGTGGGATTACAGGCTGAGCCACCAAGCCCGGCTAATTTTTTGATTTATTGTAGAGACAAGGTCTTGTCAAGTTGCTCAGGTTGGTCTCAAATGCAATCCTCTCTCCTCGGCCTCCCAAAGTGCTGGGATTACAGGCATGAGCCACCGTGCCCGGCTATGAGCCATTATTAACGCAGGTAAAGAAACAGCAGCTCAGAGAGGTCACATGCCCAGGTTCACTCAGCTTCAGTGCTAAAACTCTGGCTCTGGACTGGACTGCAGATCATAATCACCAGCCTCTCCTTTAGCTGGCTCAACACTCTGGGCCTCAAGGCTACTTAGCTGTCACCTGTTTTTCCTACAACGTAGTTCCCCTATTTCCCGTGTGACTTTAAGCAGTTTATGTAACCTCTCTGAACCCTTGAATTCTTGTTCCCTCACTAGTAAAATGGGTGACTCTCTACCCAGAGTGAGGATCAAATGAGATAACAAGACCCTAGGTTAGAGGTTTCTCTCCCTTCTCTTCTTCTCCTTCAATCCCACCCTGGGATGCCACACACCGAGTATCCAGGTATGGTCATTGGTCATTGTAGACTCTGTGCCTATGGGAGTCAGCTCAGTGAGATCAGTGACAGATGCCAGCCTCAGTCACTGCATCCAGCCTGCCTTGCCCTGACATGCCTGCTGTGTTTTGTGTGCCCAACGGCCTCTCCCCTGACTCAGTCAGCCTACCCTGGGCTCTGGGTTCTTGGCACACAGCTATTCGTGGCTCAGCACTTCAGATCTCAGGGCTATTCAGTTCTCATCAAGACCACTGAGACCCAGGTGAGCTCAGGGCTCCCTTGGTCTTTCTGCCAAGTCCAGTGCCCATGAGTATCCCAGGGCCCTCTGGGGAAGGGCTTTAAGCATTCTGTTTCCACTCCAAGTCTCCAGACACCTATTTGAGCTCCTGGCCTCTGCCAGGCCCCGGGTGATAGTTGGGGCTGCAGAAGAAATAGATCAAGGCATATTCTTGACCTCCTTAGCTGCAGAAGAAGCTGACATAGTGTGTTCTGAGAGGACAGAGAAAGATACCCACAGAGCCTGCTCGGAGGAGGGCACCCTGGAGGGTACCTTTAAGGAAGAGAGCAAATCAGACATGTAAAAACAAGCAAGGGCCTACACTTTGGGGGGCCTAGCAGTGGTTCACTCTGGCTGGTTCTTTCAGGAGGCCAGGGGTGGCAGGGGGTGAGGCTGGGGCGTGGCACAGCCCAGCCCTTGGCGGGTCCTGAAAGCTGGCAGAGGATCTTGGCTTCTTCCTGAAAACGCTGGGGAGTCACGGAAGGGTTTTAAGTAAGGAGATTCATGGTCAGATTTGCATAACAGGAAGCTCACTCTGGCTGCTGCATGGACAGGTGGTGGATGAAGACAGCAAGCCCAGGCCACAGAGCCCCGGGAGGAGATATTTACTGGGTACTCCCTCAGTGCAAGGGACAGTGGTTAGAAGTGCAGCCATAGGCCACTTCCAGCTGTGTGTACTTGGGTGGATGGCTTAACTTCTCTGCGCCTTAGTTTTCTTATCTGTAAAATGAGGGTACCACTCATGCCTACTCAACATAGGGCTGTGTAAGGACTGAGATGGAATACCAGTGATGTAGTCGGCTCAGTGCCAGGAGCACGGAGAGCATTATGGATACTGTAGCTATTATTATTACTAGCAATAATTCTGAAAGGGGGTTTAGCTGTTAATTTCTTCATGTGGTGCACGGGTAGATATTCTTAGCAGTGTCCTGCAGATGAGGAAATTGAATATTGAAGCTGTCAAATACTTATTAAGGAGATGAGCCCGGGCTGGGTGGACTTCTGGTCCCTGTTTTTTCTACAGCCTGTGGAGGGGCAAGGGAAAATGGGAGGCAGGAGTTGGGGGGGGGTATGGGTAGAGGCTTGAGGCTTAGTCCTGAGCTCCTTATAGGTGTTGTGTCCTCTGGGCACTATGGGCCAATTCTCCCCTGCTTGCGAAAGCCGGCAGTCAGGCTCAGGGTCTTAGGCCTCTGCTAAGGCATATTCTTGAGCTCCTTAGCTGCCTAGCCCTGCCTGTCCTTCAGGACCCCAGCTCTAGTGGTATCCCTTACCGCCCCCACCCACTCCTGAAGCTGGGATCAAGAGCCCAACGGGTGAATGTGGGTGTGTTCTGTGTGACCAGGCAGAGAGGCCTTCTCCTGTGGACCCACTCATATTCCCAACACCCACCCCCACCAGCAGCTGCTTCCACAGGAGATCGCAACATTCCTTCCCTCCTCAGATGAGGTGCTACCTCCTGATGGGGGTGGCCAACGCCCTGACACGGGCTAGGAGTTGGAAGAAGGCCTGCTCCCAGCCCCGGCTGCCAGGCGCCCAGGCAGGGTCCTACCTCCTGGGATTGCTAC